ATACACGGTGTGCATAGGCATACATGACCACATGAGATGACAACTGCATTCGATGTCCGGTCTCTGCATATGCAGCATAGAGACGGACCCATCGTTTTCTGGTCTTGTTGATTATTCTCTGCTTCCGTGTGCTCTATGTTACTAGAATTAACTGTCGTGGCCACTGAAATAGTAAAAATTATTGTAACTTTAAACAATCATGAAATCCGATGAATATGTCTGTCATCAGCGTTTCTTACCTGAAATATTTGAATCAACATCGCTGAGGTCACTTGCTGCAATGCTGATTGTTGAATCTGTGCAAAAAGAAGTATTATTATTATCAAGCCTCTCCAATAGATTTCATTATTGCTAATTTGTGTAATTTAAAATAAATATTAATCATGAGCTTAAAGACTACTACAAGAATGCTTAACTTACCCGAACGTATTGAAATAGTGGATGCTGCATCATTCTGATCACTCCGATTTTCCGAAATAAGATCTGCAACAAAAATAAAATAAATTAATCTTATTCTAAACAAATCTCATTAATACTTTACATAATGACCGACGGAAAGTCATAAATACAAAAATCCAAAATACAAATGGTTACTTACCGATTTTTTCGATGTTCACGTCAATTACTAGAGGATTGTAGACTAGTCGATCTCGTAGAAACGATTACCGATCGAATGTTTCCACAAATGAAGATCACATCGTTCACATTGGTATAGAACCAGTAGTCGACCACAAAACGTCTCGTCTTTACGAAAATGTTATCTCCAAAAACTATCCGGCTCATTTTGAAGTTCACTTCTCAACTGCATATTTACAACTGACCAAATGACATTTAAAATCAAGTTTTTAGGCCAGCCATTCCAGTTTTAGGTAGCTAGAAAACTTTTTTTAATGGCTGTAAATTACTTCGTTCCTCTAAACCAATCTGACACGAAAGACAAAAGATTCATAGGCCAGCTGTAAGGTCAGTGTGTACCCGAGAAAAACAAGACTGTGCGTATCTGATCAGATATGACAGATTTATTTTGACAAACGCACACTAACAGTTATTTTCAGCAATGTTACTAAATCGTAATTATGACATAAAAATATTTATTCAGAAGTAAGATCTAAACTTGATAAATTTTTTATGATCATTGACATCGTCTTTTGGTTTTATAATCATATCAAATCTGATCTGAGCAACGAACAGTTCCCGTTAATTGTGACTGTTTATGATTCCTGTACGCTTTTTGTCAGGCTCAATTAAGTGACAATAAAAATATTTACACGCTGTAACAATAACATTTGCCAGTCTTGTCAATAAGTATATTGCTAACAAATATCAACAATCATTCTTATTGAAAATTGGTAATTTTTTTTATTAATGTTGAAAACTAAATTTGAAAAAAGTAAGGTGACTGTAATAATCCTTACAATGTGAGGAAAAAAGTTTTTCGCGTCAAGTTTTCTTTATTTATTCTTTATTAAATAGAACTATTATACAGAGAGCTACATGTAACTTATACATTATTTTTAATCTCGATACACTTGCTTTTACAATTGTATACAATAATTTATAAAATTTCTATACAATAATCGTTTTTTTTTTTTTACACTTTAAAAATGAACCCAAAAAATGATGAATTGTTATTTTATTATCGTTTCATGTCTATTCTTAGCTAGTAATACATATTTTTAACTAAAATATCTATTACTACTCAGTGAAAACCGCGAGAAAGTGAAAGACTTCGTTCACCAAAAAAAATTTTGATTTGATTAATTTTCAACACAAGTATTTGATCATTGACTGGCTTAAGGAATAATTAACGGTTGGATCATTCTAGGTTGGAATACATAAAGGAACTGTTGCGAGAGGTTAATCATCAAGGCAAGGCCATTCAAATCAGCTCGGCTCCAGCTCCTGCAGCTCTAACCAGCCTAAGCTCATCCGATCCTACTCCAGCTTAACAACCTCCAACCACATCAGGTTGATAAGCTCCAATTAAACTTGACAGTCATGTTCAAGAATTAATTTTTATTTCTTTTGTTGTTAGCTCAAAGTGGCTCTTCCTTGTTAGCTCAACAGCTCTGCTCACCGCTAAGCTCTTCACCAGCTCTTGATTCGTGCTACAGCTCAGCTCGAAGCTCAGCTCTCCACTAGCTCTTGATCCGTGCTCCAGCTCAGCTCAACAGCTCAACTCAACACGCAGCTCTTGATTTATGCTCGAGTTCAGCTTCAGCTCCAGAATCATCTTTAAGCTCGACCTTTGATCGTCCGATAAGCTCTTTAGTAGCTCTATCTTGCTCTTTTAGTTTCTGTGATCCTCCAGCTCTTAAACAAGTTCAAGAATTGCCTGTCTCTCCAACAGCTTTACTTGCAACAGCTCAAGCTCAACTAATTGCTCCTGTTCTGGCTCGTCAACCAGTACGGATGTTGTTGGATTCAGGATCATAGCTCTCTTTGATAAGAAATAAGTTAGCTCGTCAACTCCAGCTCCCAAAACAACGATCATCAATCCTGCTCACTAGTATTGGCAACGCTGTTGCTGGTCGCACACGGGGTCTAAGCATCATTACGCGTAAATCCCTCTACTCAGACAACCAAATACAAGTTCCTGTTGACATGCTCAGCAAGATAACAACATTGCCTGCCTACAACATTGACAGCTCATCGTGGTTGCATCTCAAAGAACTAAAGCTCGCAGATCCTCAGTATGTAACACCAGGTAACATTGATATTTCTCTGGGCACTATACAATGAGCTCGGAGCTCAGACGAGGTCACGCCTCAGATCCTATAGCTCTCAAGATTATTTTTGGTTGGATCGTCTTCGTCGCGACTAAGTCAAGCTCATCGTCTCTCACAAGTCCAGTTCTCCATGTGAAACAGGATCACGATCTTCATGAACTACTATCTAAGTTTTGGGTTCAAAAAGAGACAGCTCAAGCACATTCTTCTAAGCTTACTCCAGATGAAGAACACTGTGAAGCTCATATCATCAAATCTCACTCAAGGGATGCAACCGGTAAATAAGTTGTGAGACTTCCAATAGTTCCATCACCACCAGCTCTTGGAGAATCCAAAACCCTAGCTCTCAAATGTCTTCGATCAATGCTCAAGCGACTCTCAAATGACTCTAAGCTCAATCAGCTCTACACGCAATTTATGAACGAATATCAAACTCTAGGACATATGAGGCGTGCTCCAGAAGTTCAATCAAGCTCAAGAGAAAGTCCAGGTATTGTATCTGGTGATCGCTCGAATGAGATGACCTTGGCACATGATACTTCGGTATCAGGAGGGTCGAGGGTCTCCGTAGAGGGGTCATTGGTGCAACCCAATGGTCTGCCTCATTTTTATTTGCCTTATAATGGAGTTCTAGGTGAGCAAAGTCTTACTACAAAGTTAAGAGTCGTCTTCAATGGATCAGCTCAGATAAGCTCTCGGTCAATGATGTTCTCCATACTGGTGCCAAGCTCCAAGTCGACATCTTCGACGTCTTGTTATGGATTAGACGACACAAAATTATCTTTAGCTCTGATATAACAAAGATGTTTCGACAGATAAACGTTCATTCAGCAGATTGGGATCTCCAGACGATTCTTTGGCTCGATGAACATAACAAATATAGTTCCATACTAGCTATTTCTTGCTGTACGAGTTCTACTTCAACTAATAAAAGATAAAGGCATTAAATATCCTCGTGCAATAGCTTCTATGACGAAAGGTCGTTATGTCGATGACATTTTCGGTGGCTCAGATACTTTGCGCGAAGCTCAGCTCATAGCTTAAGAACTAAAAAAGCTCTGCATGGCAGGGAGCTTCCCTCTAGCAAAGTGGTCAAGCAATAGCCTTGCTGTTCTACAAGCTCTAGCTCTTCAAAGTCTTTCAACTGCTCCTGCTCAAGGTTTAGATGATACAGAACTAAAAGTGCTTGGACTATCTTGGAGCCCTACATCTGATCAATTCATCTTCTCACCGAAAGCTCAACGCTTAAGAAACTAACGAAACGCTCAGTGCTCTCCGAAGTAGCTCAGCTCTTTGATCCGCTCGGATTCTCAGCTCCAGTAATAGTTGGAGCGAAAATGTTCATTTAAGAGCTCTGGTTAAACAAATCAGGATGGGATGATGAACTTCCTACTCAGCTCTCTCAACGGTGGACGCACCTACGAGATAAGTTACCATATGTCGCTCATGTTCACATCCCTAGATGGCTCAACACGATCTCCAGCTCATAAATAGAAATACATAGCTTTTCAGATGCATCGCAGCTAGCCATGGCTGCATGCATTTATATTAAAGTTCAAAACTCAAACGAATCCGCTCAGATCCAGCTCTTGTGTGCTGAAACTAAGGTTGCACCATTAAAACCAGTTACAATTCCTCGGCTCGAACTAACTGCTGCTTGGATTCTCTTAAAGTTCATGAAACATGCTCAAGAAGTACTCGAATTAGCTCAAGCTCCTATCTATCTATGGACTGATTCATCTGTAGCACTAACATGGATTCTTAGTCATCCATCTAAGTGAAAAGAATTCGTGAGAAACAGAGTTTCATCCATCCAAGAGCTAAATACAACCGCTAAATGGCTCTACGTCCCTGAAAATCCAGCGAATTGTGCCTCTCGTGGCCTTACTCCAACCCAACTAAGTGACTTCAAGCTCTAGTGGAAAGGACCTGAGTGGCTTAAAGGCTCATTTTCTTCTTAGCCAGCTCAACAGTTCAAATCTTCAGCTCTTGCTTACAAAGAAGAAAGATCAGGCGTCTTATTGCATGCAGCTGAAGCTACATCTGAAAAAGATCATCAGTTGTGGTCCCTTCTACCAAGATACTCATCGCTCTACAAGCTCTCACGCATTACCGCTCTTTGTCTACGCTTCGTCGCCTCTCTGAGAGGAAAAACCACCAGCTCGTTAGCTCACAATCCTGTAGCTTCACAAGAACAGCTCGATGCTCTGCTCATCTGGGTGAAGATCATACAACGACTACACTTTCCATTTGAATTAAAAGCTCTGCGAGATGGGCTTCAATTACCACTTTGCCTCTAAGCTCGCAGCTTTAGCTAATCAAGAAAGTATACTTGGTGTTGGTGCTCGCCTAACAAACTCTGAGCTCGGAAAAGATGAAATCCATCCGATTATACTCCCAGGAAAATCCTACTCTTCACAGATCGTTATTGATCAAGCTCATAGACAAACGCTCTATGGAGGAACTCAAGTAACTCTCATTCATGTTCGAGAGAAGTTTTGGATCCTAGGAGGAAGAGCTCTTATTCGCTCATTCATCGTGAGATGCGTGATCTGTGCTCGATATCGCGCTCGACGTGCTCAACAGCTCACGGGCCAGCTCCTAGCTGATCGTGTGGTACCAGTTCGACCATTTTACACTACTGGGGTAGATTATGCCGGTTCCCTCACGCTCAAGATGTTCCAGAGAAGAGGCGCAAAAACATATAAACGCTGGATAGCTGTTTTTGTCTGCTTCATAACTTCAGCTGTTTACTTAGAATTGGTGTCAGACAATTCTACAGAAGCATTCATTAAAGCCTACCGATGCTTTGTTAGTCGTCGAGGGGCAAGCTCAGTGCTCTATAGCGACTGTGGAACTGACTTCAAGGGAGCTGATTCCTTTCTAAAGGATCTCTTTCGTCAAAGCGAATCAGAAAACGCTCAGCTCATCAGCTCATTAGCTTAGGTGGGGACAAGATGGATCTACTCACCTCCCAGCGCTCCTCACTTTGGTGGAAATCGGGAAGCCACTGTAAAGTCTGTGAAGACTCACCTAGTGAGGGTTCTAAAATCATCTTTACTGACCTATGAAGACTTTACTGCTCTACTATATAGCTCGAATAGAGGCGGTGTTAAATTCTCGACCGCTCTCGCCGCTCACTGATGATCTCGACGATCTACGAGCTCTAACTCCAGCTCACTTTCTTCATGGAACTTCTCAAGGATTTCTTCCTGAAGCTGCTCTAACTCATCTCCCTGAAGCCGGGAGAAAAGCAGCTCACGACATTGCAGTCGGCTCTTCAGTTCTGCTTATTGAAGATAACTTCCCTCCAGCTCAATGGCCCGAGTCATCAATGTTCATCCTGGACAAGATGGACTCATTCGGGTGTTCTCAATCAAGACTTCGAAGACTACCCTCACAAGACCAATCACCAAGCTCATTGTTCTACCCGTGGACGAGTACCGCAAGGACGTTGCGGTAGACGGGGAGTATGTTAATCGCAACCTGTCAGTTGGACTTGCTCTCGTCCCAGCTTGTGCTTAGTCGAGCTCACCCGATCCGCTCGCCCTATCCTACCTCTTTTTCAGCGCTCAACTAATTACAGCTCGTTTTCTCCAACCTAGTCAATGATAGGTGTCCTACTATTGTGCTTGGTCTACCGACGGCGGCTACAACGTGTTTGCAGCCATTAATGCTCAAGCGACGCTCGAATACATGTGCTCGATTATCGCTCGTTCCTATTTTGCAAATCCTAATCGTTTCAAGCTCTTGATGAATTCTATTCTGTTACAATAAAGTTCAGTTAAGTTTGTAAATTGTTAATAAGTTATTGTTAACGTGAAATATACTTTATTTTTGTGATAAAACTGATAATTAAGTTCAAGAAAAGTCTCTATTGTGTGTGTGCACCTCTCCTGACCACATCCTACGGCGTAGCTCGATCGCTATCGATCTTTTAGCTCTAAATAAACTAACTCAATCGATAATTTCCGGTTCTCAAAATACAGGTACCATATCGAAATTTCCTTTCTACGATTCTATTAAATGTTAAACACGTTCGTAAATAATATTTACGAAGGTTTAATCATACTATTGTAAGAAAATTTATAATTTATCTGTGTTTTCGGACGTAATAGAATATTATTACGTGTCATTTATTAATTTCTTATCATTATCTGTCTGACGCAATCGTATGATTGGTACAAGTGACCAACGAACTGATTGTCCATTACAGCCTATGAATTCTTCTATAGCTGTTGTTGATTCACTCATTGCAAATTGTTCTTGCTCTTTATCTTCGTTATCATCATTGTTATTATTATCATCTTCGTCATCATTATTTCCTTTGGATTGTGATCTTGGATCAAGTAATCTCGATAAAATGCTATCAGTTGATCTTTCATTTTTTCCATCCAAAACTGATGATCATAATTGATTTGTATTCTATACAATCCCCCGTTTGTCTATATACATAGCCAACAATATTTTCTATTTGTTACGTGTAATTGATCTCGTATCTGATGATAATAGTCTGATATTTTTTTATCAATCTTTCTGTATTGCAGTGTTGTTTAACCCAATAACCTTCATATTGATCAATAATATTTTCAATCTTATAATCTTTAAGGCTATATGGGCACTTGATATCGACAAGATCATCATCACCTATCAAATCATCTGGTGATGCTCCTAGAAATGGTAATCCTTTATCAATGAAAATACCACAGTTTCGAATATTGACATTCAATTCCGCAGCTAACATATTACGAGCTTCCGGTTCATGCCTTTTACCGTGATTCACAGCTGGACTGTTTATTGAAGTCGAATACATCATTTTTCTTACAATATTTTGCCTCGTTTTAGCAGAACAAATTTCATTGAAGTGTGGCGCTGTCAAAATCGAACGACGGATTCCGTGCCAAAGTAAATTATTACTTTGGTCTATCGTCGCAAATTAAATTTCGTCACTTCGTCTTTGATAATCCTGTAATTTTTTATTGTGGTTTTCTTTGAGCTTTTCTACATCTTCTACTGGTTTCAACACCAGTTATTTATAACATTATTAAACGATTCAGCAATATTTTTTTTGTAGTCCAATAGTACGTCATTAGCCGATGCTATTACTACAGAAAAACAGGCTAATATACGATTCCGTATTTCTGCAGCCAAAAAATATTCACGATAATCATACCCTTCATTACTTTGGCAATAATGATCGTGACAACGATCATGGTGGCCAAATATATGATACGGCACGTTATCTATATCAACTTTGAATCTATTGACTTTATCTTCGAATGCGATACTATTTTGTTCTCTCCAATGTACACCTATAGCTCTTATAGTGTTGAAAATTTTTCCTGTATTGTCAGTGATTCTTATGTTAATTGCTCTTGACAATGGAAATGTTTCATTTCGTAACTGATAAGAAGCTACTAGGCGGCTGAATGTTCGCATAAAATTATTGTAACTAAATTGAGGACTTTTCGAGAGACTGACCAAATTTGTCGATAGTCTACGTAAAATATGATTCGAGCATAATGTTCGATGCACATCAATGTCATATTCTCTATAGACTCTTGCTGATTCTAGCGTTCGAAAAACGCTGCTGTCTCTATCACATAGAATATTCTTATAAATTATATCATGTTTTTCGAAACTTGTTCGAAATATGTCCAATATAATATTAGTTTCCATACTTGATGAACTTTTAGTATGATGGTCATTTCTCTAAAACGTATGTAATTTTGCATTACCCAATTGACATTGAAAACATCTTTTATGTGCTACACCAAAGTCTATCACTTTGTGTGTATGAAAATCCATTGCTACAGCCGCTCCGGATACCGAATTATATAATCCAGAATCGTAGCTCCTTTTACCCCAACATCCGTCCGTTACAACATCAGTGTATGGAACAGAGACATTATTTTTTGGGTCTTTAACAACTCTTCCAGATTTTAAAGCCTCCATTCGAGATTTGTGTCGTTCCTTTTCAATTGACTCATATGCTACTGTCGTACAAATCATTCCTACATATGTCTCTGCATTATCATATGAATTGTAAGAAAGACTTTGTAGATTTATCGATGCTAACACATATTCTAGCTGGTAAAATCTAGTTCTGTCGTTCGTTTTCATTATTTTTCTCTGCAACTATCATGTCGCATTGAAATCCTCGTGCGCGTAATATTTGTGACAAAATTGGAGGAATACATTTGAATCATGGTTTATCCATTATTCCATCTTTAGGACCAAATTCCACATTTTCAATCGTTAAATTGTAAACGTTACAATCGTTGGAATTATTGCCAGTCACTGCTATATTATTTATTATTAATTTATGTAACAAATCTACATCAGGAAATTTTATGAGACATGCTTCGCCATCATTACAGGTTTTCTCAAATTCATCTTTGCTATGAGAGTCCACAATATAACACTTTCTTTCTCGTGTAATAATGGCAGTCGATAACGACTTCGTTGTGAATATTGCACTGGAATTATTCAATGTTAATTGGAATAGAGCATCATACAATCTCGTTAAAATACTCGATTTTATTAAATTGCCATTATATTGTGTTCCAATGTCATATGAAGCACTCACACACTCAGTCACTATCACATCGCGTGGCACTCCATCAACAGCTAAATATCGATAAGATTCTTTATCAATACCGAGTACACTTATTAACTCTTCGTATAAGCTATTGCCAATCTTCAATATGTAATCTTATAAATTTGGAGTCCATAAATTCATTGGAATCAATGCAGCAAATACTATTGCCGATGAAGCATTAGCTGTATATTGCTTTCCTTTAGAACAGTACTCAAAATTTTTGTCATCACCCTGATGTATATTACAACAGATGATCTCATAAGGAGTATTATTTTCAATTTGATTTTCAACATCATCGATGTCGAAATTATTCCTCATTTTATTGCTAATCGTATCATGTATATTGACTGATATATTATGATTTATTTCATCATGAACATCATCATTAATAACATCTACGTCATCATTATGATTCGATTCATAATCAACCGCAATATTATTACCGATAAAATAATTATTATATAATTCATTAATCTCCGAATCACTCATACTATTTCGTGTTAAGGTACTCAACATATACATGATTTTATATGATGGACCCACATTTGTATTAGCCGCATGCATACAATTCTTAAGGTGACTGTATACCTCACGTACATTGTGGAAACACTAAAGATATGCTGCTTCATATGATAGGTTCGATTTATAGCCTAATTGGTCATTAAATGGCTCGTTTAAGACGAGAAATTAACTATCACGCGATATTAAGGCCACTGAAATATTACACGATGTAATAATCATCTCGACGTTGTTAATTTTGCATTTCTCTAATGACTTCAGTAATAGTCCATTATCAAAACTATAGTTATCAACTAAATGACCATGTATTTCATTCGCAGTATCGAAATAAACAGTCAGAGAATCACTTATTCTAATAACATGACCGATTTTATCATAATTACGCGTGTAGAAATTATTATCAAGATTAACAATGTTGTCCAAGTGCTCAATACTGCAATAAATGATAGCATCTAGAGTAGCAGACGACCACTTTGGCACATCAGTTAATTTCGATAAGATTGTCGCTATATACGACGTCATCAAAAATTTATCTCGACTACTTGTATCGTTTTTATATTGGATAAAATCATGATTACTTACGTTACTTTTGATGACTTTAAAACAATCAGGCAGTGAATTAAGGTTACGATTATCAACCTTACTGACACCGGGTTGAAAATCAACATCCATTTGGCAGTAGTTTGCAACTTTATCGCGCAAAAGTTCGTCGCGTCTCTGTGCAACCGCTCTTCGTCGGTGGACATTAACAGTCGTTTGTGATGACGATTTCTAACGATTTCTCGACCTTTGACTCAGGAACGCCAACTCCTGAAATCGATAAGAA